TTTGTCAATTTTAAACCGATCGGGCTGAGACTTTGCATGCAGGTATAAGAAGAATCATAGATGAATGTCATTGTGTATAATAAAAGCCTGAGAACAAAAACTGTAGTCTACATTTCAGCTCTACACCGCAGCGAAGCGAGGGCGGGCCGCTAGTATGTATATATATGATATACACATTTTCGACCAAAGTGGCGTATTAGCGATTTCGCCTTTTCACTGTCGAAATGTGAAAGTCTGTACGTTTGTTACTCAATCACGCAAAAACTACTGAACGTATTTGGATGATATTTGGTGCGCATATAATTTATGACCTGGATTGAAATACAGGAATTACTTTATCCCAGAAAAATTAAAGGTTTCTGTGGGATTCGCAAAAAACTAAAGTTAAAACGGACGAAGACGCGAGCGGCTGCTAGTCTAAAAATAAATAATAATAAAATAATTTCAAGATAAACTTTATAGATTTTATACTACCTTTATTGTCGTTTATTTAATCTTCTTTTTTAGTATTTATGCCATTATTATCATGACATCAATAAGTGCATTGGAAAGGGTTGCTTCGAATAAACATAAAATTGAAACAAATTTATAGGAAATGGTAAAAGGATCAGAGTAATTTGTCGAAATTTTCAAGTCTTTCAGATCTGATCAAATATTTAAGTAACTACTTACTTAATTTATTAAAATATTTATATTCGTTTATCTTTTTATGTTTGCAACTGGTGAAAAATAATAAACAAATTAGATTCATTATACCTTTGTCAGTACCTTGCTTTTCCATAATATGAACTGTATAAAATAACGAGTCTTATAAAGACACAATACTATATTTCAATTCAACTAATAAACAAAGAAAACAATTTTATCTTATTATAATATCGAAATTGATCATCATTTGAATTTCTTATTATGTAATTTTAATTTCAGAAGTACAGAGGTAATTCATGGAATATTCCAAGAATGTTCCTAAAATGCGAGCAATAAATCTATTTGGAAAAGCACCTGTCTGACCTTCCCAGGTTAAGGCTGATTCACACAGGGTTAATACACCAATGACAATGTAGCCACTCATGCTAATTATGCATGAAGCTAATGCTCTGATGAAATTTATAACTATGAATGCTATAAAATTATATGTTTTCTTATTTTCTTTCAAGGGTTCCGTAGTCCTCACTGGAACCCTTATAGTTTCGACAGGTCGGTCTGTAATTTTTTTTTATATAGGTATATTTTGTTGATGGTTCCACTAATAGAATTTTGTTACTATGAAAACTTAACGAAATTTCTAAAGTAATAAAGTCTGGCAAATCCCCAAGTATATTATTTAACTGAAATAAAATTAATCAATTTAAAATCCGGTCCACTCCTATTGAAAAAATCACTTATATTGATTTTGTTAAAAGTTGAGAGAAAGCAAAGAATTTAAAAAAATAATACAAAATATTGGAAAGTACCCATGTTTTGATTGAGAAAATATTCCATTTGATAAGGACTCCAGACGAAATAAAGGCCAAACAGAAGCTAAAAAAAAATATAAATGTTAAAAATGAATATGATTTCTAAATTACATGTAAACACCGAGTTTCTCTAATGGCTTAAGAATTTTCTTTCTGTATAAGTATTATTCTGAATTATATGCTTTATACTTGAAGAAACTTTGTTTAGAAATTATAAAAAGGATTATATAGTAATAGATAGTCATGTACTATTATTTCTACCTACAAGTATTTAATAATTAACTATTGTGTGTTAAAAATAACCAACTTTCCTTGTATATTTATTCAGAAGTCATAAATAATACTAGCATATTTTAAAAAGTGAAAAAGTTTTGCTTGATTAAAAAGCAAGTTAGTTTTACTGCAACATTAATATTAAAAAATATCTAAAAAATACTAGAAAATAAATCAATAAATAAGTCTTAGTTTCAGATGAGATTCGAACCCACTTCTTCCGCTTTCCGGGCCTGAAACCTGGTCCGAGTGTTTTTTTTAGTTGTATTAAATTTTTCTTTGGATTTCATCTAGCAGTTAAACGCTAAAAATATAATAATTACAAAATATGTTAAAAGTAACAATATCGATAATATTTGATGATGATCCATGATGATTACACGGACAAATCATCTTACTACTGCCCACTAAGGAGCTCGATGGCGTGGGTGGTTAGCGCGTTCGGCTGCGATCGTTGAAGTTAAGCAACTTTCGCAGTGGTCGGTCATTGGATGGGTGACCAAAAATCTTCTATCTCGAGTTCCTCCGTGCTTCGGAAGGCACGTTAAGCTGTTGGTCCCGGCTGCATCGGCAGTCGTTAGCATCCGCCAATCCGCACTGGGCCCGCGTGGTGGGTCATGGCCAAATCTCCCTATTCCATCCATAGAGAAGGCCTATGCCCCAGCAGTGGGGGCATTACTATTAATGATGATGACTGCCCAGAAGGCAACCAACAATCTATTTAATTTTTTAATTACGGAAAAACAAAAGCTTTTGTAGATATTATTCATTCAATAATAAAACTTCTGAGTAAATAAACAAGAAATGTAGGTATACTGTGAATATGCGTACCATACCAATTCAAAATAATTTTTAAGTCAAAAATAAGAAGTGAAAATGAATGCACAAAATAATAAAAAAAAGATGCGTTGGTAAATAAATTAATTCGTATTATAAAACTGATGGTTTTATGACTAATTATATACGGAATTACAAAAAAAGTCTATCGTACTTAATAAAAAGAACAACATAGTCCACCATATATGTAGAAGTTTTGAGTCTATTTAAATGAATATTAATTCTAACTTAATTCTATTTACGATTTTAATATTGTTCTAATAAAGCAAAAACGTGTATTTTTAACGAAAGGTTAAATTATTATTACATTAAATATGAGTTGCGTATAAAATTTGAAGATATTGGCAGTCATTATTACAGAATTGCCAGTGTTTAAAATTATAATAGAATCTAAAAACCAATCACCTGTAATATAATACATCATCGTATATATTATATATTGTATAATAGTTGGTATAATTGCTATTATCTACTCATCAAAAGTGTCCAGGAAGAAAATGAGTTTAGTACGCACTTCGTATTTATGCGTAAATTAACTATGTAATTTACGCAGCCGTTAACTTAGGTTAATTTCCCACAATATAAATGAGTACATTGTTAATACCTTAATAAACATATGAATTAAAGTAAATAATAAATCCCAATTGAGATGACTAAATATGTTAAATATTGCGATTGGATATTTTTTTATAGCAAAAAAATCATTTGATCCCGAGAAGCGGAATTTTATGTGTAGTTATCATAATCGTTGTGTTCGTCGTTTCATATAGTGTTTTACAGTAAGCTCATTTTATTTATATCTACTAATAATATTAATGAAGAGTAACTCTGTCTGTCACGCATTCACGCCAAAACATTTTGGTATGAAGATGAATGCAAAAGAACATCGTGGACTGTATAATATGTATAAAGGGATGACTTTTGTACGGAGATTCAAATTTTATGCATAATAGTACATCAATTTGTTTCACTTCTGTTCATCATCATTAAGCGGATTCTTTTTAGTGTTATTATTAAATAAAGAACGTTTTTTTACCCCCTTTTCAGAATATTTTTCTCATGAGATTACACAATAAAAGTTTTTGTGGGGAATATACAGCAAATATTATTATATGAAAATGCAAAGCAAATACATTAAAATAACAAAATAATTGTTTCATGAATCGTTAAAGTTAAATGAATCGTTGTGAAAAACTTTTCACTATATTCATGATAAAAAACATGATTTAGTGTCATATTCTGAAAGTTAACATTCACTAGACGAAGTGAAGACATTAAATAAGCCGTTATAATGAGCAACGATTCAATATCCATCTTTGAAATACTTCAGAACGTGTTGCATCGGAATTCCACTATCATAAAATCTAAGAACTATGATGCAAATATAAATAAAACTTGACATTTGGCAAAAGAAAACTCAAACAAGCATGGAATGCCGTGCGGTAAAAAAAATATGAGATTCACTAAGTGATTTTAAAGAGAAATAGCCGAGACGTGAGGAGGCATTGACGCCGCGATTGCCCAGATCAGTCACCGTGTGACTCACTCCAACAATGTTCAGTTTTGACCCAGAAAAAACACCAAGCACGGCCACGATAAGATTCGTCGCTACCTTGTATCAATAGATATTGATCATTATAACAAGCGATCCACTTTTTCGTAACAAACAATGGATGACGCTCTTTTTTACTGTTCCTACGAACTCCGAATAGGTAATGATGAAAATACAAAAACTCGACCGGTCTTTCCAACAATACAAAAGTTAACGTGACAAAGGAAAAATTGGCATTCCACAGAAGTAGAGTTTGATTTGTATTGAGACGCTGTGCATCCTACCAATAGGTATTACGAATATAAATGTTAGTGTTTGTATGTTTGTTACCCAAACAAGCAAAATCTAAGTACTATGACTTGAAACAACATAGGATATTTTTTTCCCCGGATCCTGAGAGAATTTCAAAAATCTAAAGATAAGCTGGACGCAGTCGCGGGCGGCCGCTAGATACATTATAAATTACACCAAAATCTCCGTTTTGTTTTCAATATGAAATCAGAGACTATTGACTGTGAGTCAATACCGAAATCAGCAAATTTCATGTACAAAACTACAACTCATATGTTAATGTATTAAACTGGGATAGCGAATTCCATACAACGCGCGAGATTCTTAGAAGCACAGCCATTTAATACAATCAGCCGATCGTTTTGACAGACTCATGTTTATTATTAGTGGGTGCCCAATTGAAGCGTGCGAAGCGAGCACGTACAAGATATGACACACGCGTGATTTGCTCAACCAATAATAATTAATGCGACAGGGAAGTGGGATTCGGCGTTGACGCGAACAAAGAAAAGCAACTTAGTTTCACTTTAATACGAAATCTAACACGAAGAGATACTTTGCGTTCATTTAGAGGTAATTAGAAGCATTCCTGTGAATCATCCACCCGCGGCTTGAATTTTTATTGGCCGTTTGGTTGCATTATATGTCTCGGCCAAGATAGGTTTTTCACGCAATCGAGGTAAGTGTACATTTTTATCACGTTACCATAGAGTCGACATTGTAGATTAACAACCATTTGCAAAGTTTCAGTGGAAGGTGGTTTCGTACCAAAAGTGAGGCAACTAGTTTATGACAGCGGTCGTTTTGAAATCACCTTGGTAATGACAGGGACGACGGAGAAAAATGTTAGCTAGATAAGCTAGTGGCCGTTCTCGCCGCCAGTTCGTCACAGAAAATTCACTTTGGCAAGTGAAACTGATGAAACGGTATTTTGCACAAATCAATTCGATTAATGAATTTATCTTGTTTGGAACAGTTTTTTTTGTATTCCAGCGACGGAATATCCCATTAATAGAAGGCACAATTACTCTGACGCATGAAATGTAACAACGACGCTCAGACACAATTTATAGGCTCATAAGAATCGTACAGGAAAAAGGCGTCGGTCGGCTGTTCGGTCGCTGTCAAAAAATATATATGCGAAAACCAGTTTTAGCAGCTTTTGTTCAGATGTTTCGGTGGGGAGTTCGATGACCAATGCAAATGTGATGTGGGCAGTCGCATGTGTGCGGATTCGAGCTAGGGTAGCAAGGGAGGGGTGAGGCGCAGCCTGCAGCGGTCATCCACCGGGCCGGCGGGCCGTGTGCCTTGGTGGCCGAGTGACTCACCGCGCTCTTTGTCTCCGCGCCCACGGCTACCTACCTCCAGGATCCCAGCTCCAGGCGCCACGTGCTCGCACTAAACCACGTGTTCCGCTTCGCACTATCCTGCAACGCGCGGTCGATCACCGCCGACACGGTAAGTGTACTCCAACAAGCGCCTGGAACCATCATCACCAGAGCACCTGATGAAGTACAATGGGCGTGCGGCGGTTGCGGGCTGGCCAGGATCCGAGGCTTCGGGCGGTGCAGCGGCGGCTCCGCGCGCTACTTCAGGTACCTGACTCGTGAGAACAGCCCTGGCGCCGGAGTAGCGCGCGGCGCCACCGCCATCTCCTATAAATAGCGCGGACCGCGTCCCGGGGAGACGTACGACCGACTGATTCGACGCTCGGGTCTCGACTGCACCTCGGCAGAGCCGGCGCCGCGTCCCCCGCGCGTCCCCAGACGTCAGCTGACCGCGGCTGCACCGGCCCTGACATTGGCGCGCCCGCCGCCGCGGGGGGGGTGAGGTCAGCGACCCCGCCCGCGGAAGGCTCCTCGCGAAACTAACGCCCCCGCCTCCCCCCGTCACCCCTGCCGCCACCGCCGTCACCATCGCCGCGCCTCCGAGCCCCTCACTCGCACCACGTCTGTCATCACTCTGTGACATTCACCAAGTTTGGAGGCTCAATGATTTGAACGTGCTATTGAGGAAAATGTGCTGACTGTACATGCTCCACGCGACGTAGGTTAGCCACTCGAATTACTGTTTACAATACTCATAAAAGATGAGTTTACACTTCGCAATACACACATCATTGCATCGGTGATGACGGAATGGCAAATAATCATGACATGAATCATATATGAAAAATTTATTATCGTTGTTTCGAACGCTATCTTATCCGTTAGCTGATTTTTGCTCTACAATTTTCACAATAACGCATGTACAATGACAATTTACAACATAATGTACCTAATAGGTAATGTATCTTAAATACCAACAACATAATGAAATATTGTATAAATGATAAACAAAAATACGTAGAAATAAATCTACGTCAATTAAGAGTTTACTGTTGTAATTAGTATAAAAAGATTATCCGCGAAGATTAGGATAAAGCTCTGCAGAAAACTTGTTATTTTCAGTAAAAATATAGCGTCAGTTCCCGTTGAATTACCAAAATTATAACATAACATGTATATTATGGGATTTTGAAATGAATTTTCACATAATTTTAATAAAAAAAATATACATAAGTACTTATTCAATCCCAAAATGAAAAGGTCAGTAATTACACCTGTGCGTTTAGGCTAAAAATGAATTGAACATTCCTCAATGACACAAGGACAAAGATAATTACAACCATAAAACACATAAATTAACCAATGAGTTTAGTACAAAGTGCTTTTCAAAGTCAAAAGATTAATAATGCATACATTGTAGCATTGCAGGTAGGTATAGTTTTCATTTCGTCTCTGTCTACGCGATAAAGAATAATAAAGAGGTTGGATTGGGTCGGGTACATTAAAAGGACGGTCTTTCACCTGACCTTAAGACTGAACCTGGGGTCACGCTGGTAGGGCGGAGGCATTGTCTCCTGTGCCTCCAATGTGAACTCTGAATGCTGAACTTCGGCTATGTGACTTGACCGGCGCGTAGGGGTTGCTGCTAATGCTACGAAGTTAGGTACGAATGGGTTTATCTTAATTTTTAATTTGAAATTCGCATGATTTAAATTTAATTTGGAATTCATGTGTCGAATTTAAGTTAATATTTGAAAGCCTGAGACTTATTTTCACTTACTTATTAAAGGTCGTAGCATACATATCAACTAGCGATCGTCACCGTATCAACTAGTCGTTCCACGCAATCATGTTAGTAATTCAATTCGTTTAAAATACTTTACTTTTACGATAACTACGCTTTTGACACGCACATTATTTGTTTATTGTATGGTAGAGAATGCCCTGTAGCTTAAAAGATTGTTAAATTTGTCTATTGTCTATAGTTAATGTCACGTCAAATCCATAGAAGAAAGTGTATAATGTTTTCAAAACAGCCAGTAGTTTTGCTATATTATTTTAACTATGCAAATTTAACTATATTTTAAACAATGCGGCTTCATACTTCCATAGCTTTATGCATCCAAAAGACAGAGAAAAATTGAAAAAAAAGGAAGTTGTAGTACAAAATTATTTTGGACCATTCAAAACAGTTGTTGTTGCCACTAATATAAAAAGAGTCTTATGTTTATACCATGTGCACATAAACGTCTTTACTTTTATGTAGGCACATATCTTTGTTTTATTTGAGATATGTGCTCATATTTTTTTGTACTAACACCTTCGATCAACAATTCTATAGATAACGGGTCAGCGCGTAAAATCCGTCTCGGTAAATATAGCCTCACTTGGGGCGTGAGATCTTATTTTAAATTAGTTCGGTTAATACAAAACGAAGTAACTCGCTGGCCAATGACAGGTAAAAATGTTTTATTTTGTGGGCCATAAGTTGATTTCACATTTTCCTTTTTTCACCTTTATCGTTTTTTTCCAAGTATCAGATATTATTTATAAAAGGAACAAGATAAAAGGTCGTATGTGCGAAATAACATTTTGTTATTTGTAACCTTATTCCTTTGTGAGATAGTTGTTAATAGGTTCAACTTAAAAAGTTTTAAAACATTTATCTTTGTTCATTGGGAATCGAATGTAACTGCATAAGTTTAATTATACGCAGACAGTCTTTAGCTTTGATTCTGTATGCAACTAAAAATCTATAGAATTGTTGATCGAAGACTAAGACTACAGAAAAAGCGTATTATTTGTTTGTATATGTGCGTCCTCTTTCATTCATTTAAATATGTTTGTAATTTCGATTGAATTGAATGAAAGAAGACGCAGATGTAAAAACAAACTACACTATTTTTTCTGTTTAACCATTACTTTTAAATGCAAGAAAAGATTTGGATGGTATGATTTTTTTCAAATGGGTAAGCGGTAATAATTTTTGCTGACGGGTCTTGTGTACGCCAAGTTTTAAACAAGGTGGGCCAAATGTTTGCATGATGAATACGAGCATTTGTACCTAAGTGTACTATTATATGTATTTTCTTAGTGTACAAAATATATTTAAATTAGTGTATGTACTCTATCCGACTCTAGTATCCCATTACACAAATCACACAGTGGTGTCGATTCTGGCATGACTCTGTAAACCTAAAATTAAATTTGACCACAGTGTAACCTTGCCATTCTGTATAAAGTTATGACAAAGATACACTGTTGTCAAAATTAAGTTTAGGTTTAGAGAATCATGCTAGAATCGACACCAGTGGTTACTTTCCGACCAGACTAATTGGTGTGTATGCAAATTTTATTTTTTATTTTTTTCTAATGCCGTAAATAATATGGGCAAAGTATGGGTATCATGTGAAACTGATGCGCTTGTAACATATCAATGGAGTGTGAATAGTTCATGATTTTTTTTTAATGAGCGGTAAACAAGGGCAAAGCCCACCTGATGGTAAGCAGCCACCATAGATATATACGCTTGCTATAAAAAACATGTAACTCGCATCGTTGCCTACACTTTTTTTTTAACCCAGGGAAATGCTTTGCGCATAACTTGTTACTGGGTAGGCAACAGGGTTATGTGGGACTCTCCATACTGGCCTACCCACTAAAACCCTGGGGTGTGCCGTCACCGATGTGGGATCCCTATTGGGAAGCAACCACACCGTCCCGGCGATCGTTGCCTACCCTGACCCAATTCCCTACCCCGTGGTTCCTGGAACCTTACTTACTGACAAAAAGTCAAGTCAAAGTCAAATATTCTTTATTCAAATTGAACGCACAATACAACTCTTGAATCGTCCATTTTTTCCCCTACAACCACCTTTCCCTTCCACGGAAACACAACACTACTAAAAGGTACTGTTATTTAACTTTTATAGTCTGTAAGGTACAGGGTAAGTCCCCAGACGGACGCTCCAATTCGAGTAAACAATCTTGACTCTACCTCTCTTAGTGTCGCCGCACACGGGCCACCGACCACAACCACAAAATGCCGCCACCGGCATATTTCTTGTGGTTTTTATACATTTTATATGGACTCGCCACACACGGTACGCCGGTGGTCGCCAGACGCTACAAATCGTCGTTGCTTGCTTCTTGTAGCCCGCACCGGCCACTTAATGCGCCGATATAAAACGCCGCCACACGTCACTCGCGCGATTCCCTACCCCTCTCTCCCGGCGACACTAAGTGTCGCCGCACACGGGCCACACGCCACAGCCACAAACGCCGCCACGAGAAGCTAGAAGCGGCTACTAAAGTGACTGAAGCGCGCGACAGCGGCTGATTAAGGTAAGGGAGAGAGGGGTGGGGAATCGCGCAAGTGACGTGTGGCGGCGTTTTGTATCGGCGCATTAAGTATCCGGTGCGGCCCACAAGAGGCGAGCAACTACGATTTGTAGCGTGTGGCGGCCACCGGCGTACAGTGTGTCGCGACTCCATATAAAATGTATGAAAACTACAAGAAATATGCCGGTGGCGGCGTTTTGTGGTTGTGGTCGGTGGCCCGTGTGCGGCGACAGTTAAATGCAAATATAAAACTTGTCACTAACCTTAATAAAAATGTTTCATTTTCTAAAGTCTTAAAATTACAAGATATGTCATGAAACGTCAATGAACCTAAAATAAGAAATGAAAACTTAATTAATGGCAAATGAAAGAGTTCATAAATGAAATTTATTTAGGTTATTTTATGAAACTTCGCCGTTTAAGAACCCTGAGGCATATTTGTGATGTTATATTGAATTTTAGGCGAAACTACATAAATACAATTTTCTATGCAGCATTTATATTGTTCTAAAATAGTCGATAGAGTGAAATAATAAGTTAGAAAAAAACCGTGTTTAAGAACACTTATCTCCTAATGCAGCAGCAACAGCAGCAAGAAACGGAACATACACAAAGTCTTTTTGAAGAACTGATGGAATCTTCAGGAATACAATCAGCAAAACAGTCACTATCAAGTAACAATAGTAACATACCCAGACCTCTAAATTTAGGCAGTAGGAAATTAAAGAAATACATATGAAAATATTTTAATAAGAAAACTGATAGATTAATTAAGAAAAATAGTAGCTTCTATAACAATATTGCCCTAAGGTAGGAACGCATGAACCGTTTGGATTCCATAGAAATTTATAGTAATAAGCTAATTTGTTAGCTATTAATTTGCATTTATTACAACTGCAAATTAAATGCTAACAAATATATATAGTTCTTTTAAAACTGACATTAGTACTTGTACCAATTCAAATTTAATGATAAATTGTTATACAGTAAACTCCGTAGATTCAAACTGAAGGGTATAACAAAAGTTACTCCCCACTATGTCAATATTATTCACCAAAATATCCAGGGCTTGGCCGGCAAAGAGTTAGAATTATAATTCTAAATCTTTGCCTGCCAAGCCCTGGAATGATTAATTTAATAATTTCTAATAATTATCAGCAAAACGTCATGAATCTCATATCATGTGCATAACTGAACACTGGCAATAGGCATGATGACAGGGTAAAATAAACGAAATTCTATTTAGTC